TAATAAGAAAATTATGAAAAAAAATAAAAAAAAAAATAAAAAAAGCATGTAAGTGTATATCGGCGCACGAAAGCAAGCGTAATTTACGTCTCGTAACGTCATGATCTCTTTTTCTGCTTCAAACGCGTCTGTAAACCGCCATTAATTTTTTTTTTTCACTCTTGACTGAGGGACTTATTTTAATTCGCTGCTGTCCGTTTTTTTTTTTTTTTTTTTTGGTTTGTTTTTTCAGCAGATTCAAATTTCAGTCGAAAGATCACCCTACATTGTAGGCAGCAGAGAATATACATTGTCTGACATCATTCGTGGCCCAGAACGTTCCCCACTGCGTTTAACAAACAGTACTCTATTTCTTACATGCGGTAACTATTTTTGGTATAGAAGAAAAGCTATCATTAAATCTCATACCATTTAAAACAACTTCTCTACTAGAATATAGTGTGTAATGTCACTTCTGTACTCTTTTTTTCCGTCTCTGATGTATACACTGTATAAACCATATCCAAAACAATTTATTACATCCCCGTGCGCCGCGGTTACGCGTGTGACGACGTCATTTTCATCCAACTCAATTCCAACAACACTTTGAAAATCATGACACCAAATCGTCTGTTTCGAATGCTATTTATATGAAAATTTGACATGTTATTAAGATCTTGATTCTGGTTTCACTGATATAATTTTGAGTTCAATGTTTTATAGCAGTATCAAAGAAATAAAAGAAAATATAATAGTTATATGCGCAAATTATTCCGAATTTGTTCGTTCGCCGACAGACCATATCCGCATTCATATAAATCGTCCCAATATTGTTAATGTGAAAGATATATATTTAAAAATTCATAATTTAAAGAACAATGAATATATTATGTCTATGCAAAATTTGGTTAGTATTGGTTGCATGTTAACAAAGTTATAAACATTGTCTACGACTTTGTGGGACAACCCTCAAATATAAATTTTCTTGGTAGGTGAATGGCAGATGCAGTCAGAATCTTACAGAATGGAAAATGTTATGATTTAAAGCTTCTTAAATCTCTAAATATTGTTTTAACTTTACACGTTTATTTTCCTACCCATGTGAGTAAAACTATATAAAACTTCTTGTTCGATAATGAAAAATGTTTTCAGAAACTTAAAGTATTAAAATATTCATGGTAGAAGACAGTATAGTTATTAAAGGAGACCGGTATCTTACCGTTCTCGGAAAATGATAAAGGAGACCGGTATCTTACCGTTCTCGGTAAATGTATGGTGGCATTTTTCTGCCCTCTACATGCAAGATAAGTTATGTTGACATGCAACATAATTATGTAGACATGCCACATATTTATGTCAACATGCAAGTAAATTATGTTGACATGTCGCATGTCTACGTAAATATCTTGCATCTGCGATGTCAAATACCGGCGTTAGTTTACTTAAGTAAATTAACCCATATGAAAATTATATTTTCTTATAAGATTGGTAACTTGCATGTTGGCATAAATATGTTGCATGTCTACATAAATATGTTGCATGTTAACATAATTTATCTTGCATGTAGGGGGCAGAAATAAGCAACAATAAAATGAAGACAGAGAATCATCGGATTATGGTAGATACGTTCTTCTATATCTGTGTGTATTTTTAAACAATTATGACACACAGACTTTATTGCGGGTGTGACAGGTCCACAGGGGATGTTTACTCCTCCAAGGCACCTGATCTCACCTCTGGAACTCCAGAGGGTTCGTGTTTTGTTCAGAGATTTGTAAATCTGTATTTTTTTTTCTCTGAGATCCAATACTGTTTGTTATATATCTTCCCTTTTTTCTCTTGTTTTTTTTTTAAATGCGCACTGCCTACAAAGAAAATCAAATGTTCCTTGATACGGTTATACATGTACAATTGTTAAAGCGGATTCAGTAGAATCATGCATGCTTATGCAAGTTTAGGACTGAGAAATTTTAACTGATCTTCATCTTACAGTAAATGTTTTATAATTCTAAGAGTAGTCTTGTTTCAATCTAGTCTGCACTTTTATACTTTATTAAATCCGCCGATTTTCTGAGCTATGTAATACCAAGTCCAATGTTAACTCTGGAAAAAGTCAGATTCAATCTTAGGTAATAGGGGAAAATATTTTAAGATAATCTCAAATGTTTGTGCTTAGTTTCCTTTAATCGTTGATAAGATCTGAAGATCAGTGGCATTTAATTCTGTAATCTCCAAATATAGTGTTAAATATATGAATAAAGATATTTGCCTTAGAAACGAATGTTTTTTAATGTCAGAAGGTTTACTGTAAGGACTTCTATTATACTAGCTGCAATAATGTAGCCCTCTCCCATTTTTTTTATCTGTTATATTCTGGAGAGGGCTACAATTCCACAGCATCTCCGTAATGGTGCAAAAATATTTTGTAAATACTGGCGACTGCAGGCAGAATAAATTGTTTTCACAATCAACTTACTTCTAATAAGACGAAATTTTTATTCACTGTCGACATCGAAGCTCGTTAAACGCGAAAACCATGTAAAATAAATCTGTGCATTTACTTCAGCAGCCATGACAGTTCACGCGTGACGTAGTGAGACTTGCGCTTGAAATTTAGAACAACTCAACAAAGCAAATGTCGAAGTTTATAAATAATTGTGATGAATAGTAACACTAAACATCGATAAATAAAATCATTCCATATGTTTCATTTTTTTGTAAACACCGATATTTAAGCTTAAAATAAGGTAATTTCAAAGAAATCCGCTCCCCATAGATCCTTAATCTCATTGGCTGTCCCGAAATAAAATCTGTCAAGGTCAGTAAACATGGCGGATAAATTTAAGTTGTGATGTTGACATATACGAAAAATACTGATATATGCATTGTTCTGTATATTTTTGGATCGATTTATGTCTGGGATAACTACATTTTGGAAGTCCAGGTAAGACATATAAATAAAATATCCGTTTACTAACAATTTAAGCCGAAATCCGTGCGGGAGGGAATCGCTCCCGCTCTGCACCATTACGGAGATCCTAAGGAGTTGTAGCCCTCCCCCCCCCCCCCCAAAAAAAGGAGAGGGTTACATTATTGCAGCTACTATTATACATGTAAAGAGTTCAGTTTTGATTTATGGTCTCTTGTTTTACAAATGTAATATTTTTATTCCTAAACTGGGCGAAAAATGGCAATTTTATTGTAAAATATCGCTCTCACTTTATTACACCCTTTTAATGATTAAAAAATTACAATTTACACTTTATTCAAATAGACTAATTCGATAGCTATAATGGACCTTTTCGACATCTTATTCTCAAATACACTTCACTTATATATTCATTTTTCTGGCACATCTTATTCATATTGGATGTTTTACTGATTATAAACGATAAGCTCCAACTTACAACTATTACTGTATGACAAACGAGGTGAATTTAGCTTTTCACCATCCACTTCTTACTTATGCAGTAAACCCCCCGGTATTACCTGCGTATGCTGTGTACATCTCCTTACTTACTCGACAGTCATGGGCATGCTCTGAGTACAGTCAGTTTTGAAATTGATACAGGCTACTGACAGATAAGTTGATATTACAGGAATTTTAACAATCTCGTTTGAAGTCAGCATATTGAAAATCGTTGTAATGACCTTGTAAGCAAATGTACATGTAACCTATCATTTGGTCGTATTGTGGTTGACTTTTTTTCATACCAATTATTAGGCCTTTGTTTTTATATCGAATTTTACAACAGGGTGTCCCGTCTTCCTGATCAATACACAGGGTCCACGGCGGGTGTGACTGGTCTGGATGCAACATTCCCCTTCATTAAGCGACTAATTAATTTTTTTCAGGACAACTTTAGAATAATGTCTGTTTCTTTCGTATTGGGTCGGTAGCAGGGTGAAATTTTTTTTCTCAGTAAATTTCTATTCCAATTCTAATTTTTTGAAATTCTATTTCCCATACATAAAACAAAAAAAAAAGAATAATTGCTTCCTGGAAGTTTAAATAAAGTTCCGAGTCGAGTCATTTTAGCCATTTTGTCGGGAGAGGACACCAGGACATTTGTTTTTAAAGATTGCCTCATAGTTTTTAAGCATATTATGTGTTAAGAATTTAATTGTATTGGTTTCATACAAATAGAGATAAACTTCCCATTGGACCTTATGCTAATAATTAATGTTCGAAAAGCTTCATATACTACCGGCATCTCAAACCTCTGAATAAGGTTCGTTGAAAAAAAAACCTGTTTGAGTGCATTTAATAAATTAAAACGCGAAAATACTTGAATTGTAAACATGGAAAACTATGCTAAATGCGATTAATTTTTAAACAATTTCATTCCAAGATCCCCCTAAAAAACCTGAAATATTCTTAATTTCTAATGTGAGATTAAAGCGAGTTATACGGTATTTTGCTTGAATTTGCTCTTTGAGGCTGAGTATGCCACGCTTACACGTTGAGGCTTATCCATGTTATCTTAAAATGTGAGTCTTACTTAAGTCACCTCAAGATATTAAGTTAACTAATTTCATCTAAATTTCTAAGCTGACTAATGTCACCTCAGATTGTGAGGCTAATATTTCCTCAAAATGTTAGGCAGAATAATAACACCTTAAAATATTAGGCAGAAACATGTCCCCTCAAAATGTAAGACAGAAAATTGTCACCTCAAAATGTTAGACAGAATGATGTCCCCTCAAAATGTTAGGCAGAATAATAATCCCCCAAAATTGTTAAGCAGAAAATTGCCACCTCAAAATGTTAGGCAGAAAATTATCACCTCAGAATTTTAGGCAGAATAGTCACCTCAAAATGTTTCGAAGAAAATTGTCACCTCAAAATGCTAGGAAGAAAATTGTCACCTCAAAATGTTAGGCAGAATAATGTCACCTCAAAATGTGAGGCTGATATGTTTCATCTCAAATCGAGAGGCAATCTGATTAAAATCAGATCTTTTGATAGCTCTGTTACAACGCACTTTGAAAAATTACGCACTTTGAAAAAATTTTTCAAAGTGCGTTAAATTTTGGGACCAAGTCAACGCACTTTGAAAAAATAAAATTTCTTTTCAAAGTGCGTTAATATGGACCATATTAACGCACTTTGAAAAACTGTGTATGGATTTGTCAATATTCCTGCAAATCTTAGGTATGATAAATAATTGAACCTGTTTGATAAGTCTTCTGTGAAGAGGTCACATCAGAATGTGAAAGTGAGCGATTTTGATTTTTCCATACTTAGAAAATTCTTTCTCGCTCAAATGCATTACTGTACTAAATTTTTTCAAGTTTGCATGCATTTTATGTAAACTTAATTTTATTGAAAGTTTTCAACGTCATACCAGTTATGTAAACACATAATATTTGGGTGTAGCATAGGCATCAGTACCGGAAAGGGGGGTTACATGTAGGCACATAAACATTTTGCAAAGATATACATAATATATACATGTATGCATTAAAAATTGGGGCTTACAATTCATATATTTTTTCAAAGTGCGTTAAATGCCTCCATGGTAAAAAATTATTATGTGCATTCTTAACGCACTTTGAAAAAAATTTTCAAAGTGCGTTGAGTGTGTCCAAAATTTAACGCACTTTGAAAAATTTTACGCACTTTGAAAAATTTTTTCAAAGTGCGTAATTTTTTCAAAGTGCGTTGCCACATAGCTCACATAGATGGCACACTCCTTGTGTAGCGATCCATGTGAGCGGATCAAAGGATCTGATTATTTAAATCAGATTAAATTGAGAGGCTGACTAATGTCACCTCTAAATGAGCTGACTTATGTCTCAAAAAATGATTTTTTTTAAATGCATTTACAATATTTTGCTTTACACTTTCAGATATTTAACACCTTGTACCTGGTTTTGGTCATGTTGTCGGTGTTAGTATTTCTCCTGTCATATCAGCCATACTGTCGAACACAGATAATGACATTCAACAGACTAGTCTTTCTAAAGAACTATTCCGACATTGCGTTATTCAACTCAGTGAATTTAGACAACACCAAGCAAGTCATGTTCTTAACCACGGAGGTCCACCCAGTGCTGGACAACATCGATCTTTTTTGCATTTCTTTCTTTACTTTGGAGCTCCTTGCCCATTTCCTTACTTGTCCACGGAAGTTAAGATTCTTCACGTATGTTCTCAATGTTTTAGATGTGTATCTTGTTGTCGCCATGTGGACAACGTTTGCCATTGAAACAAAGATGGAGGATTATTTGGATGATGAGAGAATGATAAACTTTTATTCTGTATTAAAAGCATCGTTAGTTCTACGTTTGTTAAGATTTTTCAGACTTATGAAACAATTCAGTGCTTTAAAAATTCTGTTCATGTCTCTGAAAGCGAGTATAAAGGAATTATTTCTTTTATTCATTACATTTTTGTTGGCTTCTGTTCTCTTTGCCAGTTTCATGTATTTTGCTGAATTCGATAAACAAGATGTCTTCCCCACCATCTTTGAAAGTATGTGGTGGGCCATCATCACCATGACAACGGTCGGCTATGGAGACATGTACCCGACATCCTTTGCGGGAAAACTTGTTGGTATTGCCTGCGCAGCTGCAGGAATAGTCATTATAGCAATGCCAATTGCAGTCGTCGCTGCTAATTTTAGTGAGTACTATCTGAAAAACAGTGAAAGGAGACTTCGGGGACAATTAATGAAGAATAAAAAGAAGAAACAGTCCTGTTGTAGCTGGGGCGAATCTCCCAAAGTCGACAGCTATACTTCCGGTCCCCCATCGCCAACAAATCGAGTCAAAAGACAAAACTCTAAACTGACTGGAATAACAACTCAGTCCTCAAAAACAAATGATTCTCCGAAAAAACAAAAAGGAAAAAAGGGGAAAAAGTTTTCCAATGGACTTCAGAAGTCAGAAACCCCATCGTCTGCGATTTCACGAAAGACAGATGTAAATGAAAAACATAATGGTATATGGTATGATGTGCCAGATTTACCCGTTTAAATTCATTGTTCATGTCCATTTTGTTCTAACATTTCATTCCTGGAAAGTTTCTAGTTACTGATACACATACATTAGGGACACTCGGCTTGTTGAAGTTCCTAAGTACCCTGCTAGAGGAGAAGAAGGAAATATAAAAGTTACATCAGATATATACATGTACTTAATTATGTTCCCCAAACGAAGTTGGGGAACATATTGTTTTTACTCTGTTTCTTATTATTATTATTATTTTTCTTCTTCTTCTTCTTCTTCCTGGAACTTTTTTGTCCGGGAATGATCTTGTAAACTGTTCGTCCGATGTGGGTAAAACCTTTTTAGGGTTAGTAGACATGTTATGTAGATTTGCGGAATCAAGGTCATTTTGCGCGCACGTGCTTGCAAGAGCGTGCACGTGCAACACGTGAAATGACCAATATAATAGATATAGCCACAACTGTTCTATTTTTAGATGAAATGCTTTGAAACTCATAATGTGAGGATATATTAGTAATATAGACATGACGACATGATGAAAATAGCAAGATCTCACGCGCATGCACGTGCACTTTGCTCTGATTGGCTGCAACTAAAGTCTCAATATCTTTCTTGTTTTTTGACAAAATTCTTTGTAATTTTGAACATAGTCATGCATTAGGATATCCTACAACATGAAATAAAGCAATTATCATGAAAACACGTGCATGCACGTGCGCTGCAATCTGATTGGCTGAAACTTTAAACAGCTATAACTCCCTTGGTTTTCAACCAAACAGGATGGGATCTGGAACATAGATAGATATAATGGACTTCTACAAGTAGGTATGGTCACCATGCACATGCATACACGTGCGTGTACATGTGCTGCAATCTGATTGGTTGAAACTTTAAACAGCTATAACTCCCTTAGTTTTCACCCAAACGGGGTGGAATTTAGAACATAGATAGATGTAATGGACTTCTACAAGAAGGTATGGTCACCATGCTCATGTATGCACGTGCGTGCACGTGAAATGAGTAAAATCAAACATACACTTGAATGAGCGTATTTTTTAAATAATTTTGGATTAAATACTTTAATATTCAGTGTATTAAAAATATAGATTGTGTAGACAAGATGATATGGTCATGACGCAAATGCATTCACATGTGCACGCATGCAATGCTAAAGTTTAAATGATTTTTGTACACTTCTTTGTAAATGTTGTTAAAATCTCAGATGCATAGAGTTTGTCTTATTTAATGAAGCTTACAGGGAATATGGCACCAAAAGGGAGTTGGGGAGCGTTTGGGGAACATCTGTAACGGTCCCCGTTACAATTAGCACTAGTTCCAACTGAATTTAATTGATAATTATTATGTGTATAATATTCAACTTATCGATCGTTACAAAATATTTTGGCATGTTTTTAGGCCTAACAATTATTTATAAAACATTGTTTTCTTTGTAAGATCATATATTGGTTGTCTTTATTCTTAACATGTAACAGCATGTGTAATAAATGTAATTATATGAGCAGAGACAATGTGTGCATTTATTATGGCTAATTTTATATGAAAACTCATGATCAAGCTGAATAAAACATCTCCGATTATAGAAATAACTTTAATAAAAATTTAATACGACAGAACAATAAAGAAATGATACTTTTTTTGTTTTATAATGAAAATGTCAGTTTGAATACTATGTGTAGTATATGTATCCCAAAATTTCCAATAGTGCAAAATGTGCATCATAAATAATTCATAATTTAATATTTACATTTAGTAAAGCGCGTAGCTATCATCATCATTTATATCTCATTCCCCAGTGATCGTTACAAGACGTTTTAAGTCACTTTTTCTTCATTAAAAAATGTCTTTTTTATAGCAAATATTTCCATTTATTTAACAGTCATTCTCATTTGGAACATTGATAACTGTAAATGGCCTCATTTATCTTCTATGGATAAGGTCTTTTATTTATTTCCATTTACCAAGTAGTGTATTTAGAACCGTTAACAGATATACCTATAAATACATGTACATAAGGACTAAGGAGACCATTACTTTAAAATAAAGGAAATCTAGAGGTACTCTGAGCACTGAACTCACTAAATGATATCCCCGTCTCCCAAATGATTACAAAGGCAAAATCCATGTCTTGCTCTGGGAGACTCGCAATAAGTGCAAGATCAAAAAGAAAACTAAGAGGTGCACGATGACATTGTGTAATAAAGAATCTTTGAAAGTATCGTTAGATTTTATTCAGTGGAATAGACGGAGAAAAGTGGGTCAAACTCCAAGGTCAAGGTCAAAAGGTCAAATTTGATGGTAGGTCTTGCCACAAGTATTACATAGGTGAAGTATGAAAGACCTTGCCCGAATCGTTCCAAAGTTATGGCCAACGTTAAAGTTTTTAAAAAGTAGGCCAATCTCCAAGATTAAAGGGTCAAGGTTATAAATATCCAATGAAAGGTCTTGCAACAAGTCTTACATATGTATAGTGTGACAGCCCTTGCCCAAACTTTTCGAAAGTTATGGCCAAAATTAAAGTTGTTGGTATCCTATAAAAGGCCCTATCACATGGATTACATAAAATTATATGAAGTGTGAAAGCCCTAGTCATCAAAAGTTATGGCCAAGGTTGAAGTTTTTTCATAAATACGGAAATATCCAAGGTCAGGGTCAAAAGGTCAAAGTTGTTGGTATCCAATGAAAGGTCTTGCCACAAAGAATACAACTGTGAAATATGAAAGCCCTAGTTTCTACCGTTTAAGAGTTACATGTATGGCCAAAGTAAAAGTTTGGAATTTTTGTGTAAAAGTGGGTCAAACTCCAATGTCAAGGTCAAAAGGTAAAATTTGGTGGTACCCAAAGAAAGGTCGTGTCACAAGCAATACACATGTGAAATATGAAAGTCATAGCACCACTAAATCAAAAGTTATGAGCAAAGTTTAAGTTTTGTGACGGACGGACAGACAGACTGACTGACACACTGACAGACGAATGAGATTTAATATCCCCTCGCTTTCACGAAAGCGGGGGACAATAATAGGAGGTGCGCAATGACACTCTGTAACAACGATTCTGCCAAAGTCTCATTAAATTTTATTCTGTGGAAGAAGAGGAGCTGCGTATAAGAGATGGGTACCTCAAAGCGTAACAGACAGACGGACGGATATCCTGATCACACTTTTCAAGCGGGGGGGGGGGGGGTGATAATAAAGTGACGTTTTTCGAAACTAAAATTGAGAGATATCTCTGAAATTGGAGTATGTAATAATCTTTTGGGCTTGTTGAATATATGATAGAGTTATCTGTACAAATAAAAGACCAAAGAAATTTTTGCAAGTCAGACCAATATCAAGATTCCTTGATCTATTTTCTGATTACCTGGGGCTGTTTTTCAAAACAATATTTTTTCTGCAAATCATAAAGCTGAGGAGAATATTTTAAAAGAAATAATGCACTTTATTTCAGTTCTATATAGCCCCGCCCTAGCTCCAGAACCCCTGAGTCTGGGGCTGCGAATTTCACAGTTTTGGTAGAACACTCTTAGTAGAGAATTCTAATTACAATCATGCTTATTACAGACGTCCATATGAGTAAAGAAGTTTTTGAAGATGGTACTTATTTTGATAGTTTTAGCCCCACTCCTCTGGGCCACATATTTCCCCCTTCCCTCTATAGTAACAATGACCCAGGATCCAGAAATTCACAATTTTGAAAGACCCTTGCTCATCATATGTAGGTAGTTCATCTGCTTTGTACTCAGAAGAAGAGGAGATCTTCAAAGAATAAATGTATTTTCACTATATTATCAATGAAGCTCCACCCTAGCACCAGAACCCCTGAACCTGGGGCCTTGAAATTTACAATTTCGGAAGAAACACCCTTGGTCATCATAACTATTTAGTAACTTTGTTTATTACTCATGCGCAAGCAGTGGAGAAGACTTTTAAAGAATTAATGCATTTTTCACACCACAATCAATAAAGTCCCGCCCTAACATCAGAAACCCTGACCCAGGGGCCAGGAAATTCAGAATTTAGGAAAAAGCACCCTTTCTCGTCACAACTATGCATTACGAGGGGTATTAAAAAGTTCGTGGACTAGCGCCATAAAATTGAAACTGCTATAGGTACATCAATAAAGAAAGAGGGCGAAAAGGCGTGGACAATCCCCCGCTCTGAGACAATATATTTCTCAATTTTCAAAATTCACGGAAAAGTTAATTTTTTCTAAAATCATTTTCTTGGTAATGTCATCTTCAAAACATCTTATTATTTTATTTTACTAAACATCATATCATTTGACAATCTTTTTTTTCAAACTTGACAGTTTAGCATATTTAGTGGAAAATGGGTTTACTAGAGCCATAAAAAAGAATTTTGAACATGAATTGGTCAAGTCTCCATTTTTCGTTAACGCTTAAATGACAGAAACGTAAATGAGAAATCTATTTCATTTGTCCAAAAAAATGGAATCTGAACCCCTTCTTTATGGAAATTGAACTTTTCTGAAAAAGTGTTCACTTCAACAAATCCGTTCATTTAAATTACACTGACAGACATAGATAGCGCATACATGTATACTTCGTAGCGCAGTGGTTAACGCGGTCGGTCTTCTGCCAAACCCTGCGCTATGGAGAGAGTTCAAATCAAATTTGAAGCTCTCTCTTTTTGTTTTCACATATCTTAAAAATATTAGTGAAAAAATAAATTATTAAAACAATGAAATACAGAATTAAATGTGTAAAAAATGATATAAACCATATAATTTTGAAAAATATAGCTTTCATCAACTCTTAGAATTGAGAAATGTCTTTTCTCGGTGCGGGGGATTGACATCGACTTGTACGCCTCCATTCTTTAAAATATCTAGTAAGAATAATCTTTTCTATCTAAAGAATAAACAACAAATCATAAATTTTATTTTTTGATAAATTAGCAATGTTTTGATAATCAATGGTATGTCCAGGCGGTGCAACCTCGAACACGACGTTTTTTCGACCTAAGTGTAAATGAGAAAAACTCTTTTGATATGAACATTTGACATCCAAATATCCCGTTAACTCAGTTACATGTTGGGACACTATTGTTCCTATCTGCAGATCTGTAGCGGTATGGTTTTATATATTTGTCTTTGACCACAACAGACAAATATATAAAACCATAACGCTACAGATCTGCAGCTGTATATTGTTCCATAAAATATGGAATTTTTACCTCATTCTAGATCTGTAAGTTCTATGAAATTTTACCATAAATTTTACATGGAGTGTCCAATCAAATAAGGTTCTGAAAATGACGTCAAAAAGGGGAGGAGTTTCCTTTTCCAACATTCTATCAAGTTTTGCCCCTGAAAAAAATGGACCTAGGAAATATTTGAACTGGCTACGGAGAAATAGTATGCATCCAGAATACTAGTACTTTTTTTAAAAGCCAAAATAGATTCAGAAAAAAAAAGGGATGCACATTTAATGTCGATTTGTAGTCAAGGTGTGAAAACCCCATCACGTAAAAAAAAATGACGTTGAGCATGTGTTGTAGCTATTGAACTCCAAAAGCAAAATATGCTGGCACAGTCAACGGAGGATCGCTCCTAATGTATAAATCCATTTGCAATATTAAATGCATTGACAACCGCTGTTCATGACATTGTAAAGTCATACAAACAAGACGAGTTTAAGTCCTTACTCAGCTCCAGGTAATCTCATCAAAATAAGTGCATGGGGTAGAAGAAGCGGACATCGAAAAACGACGTTGTCGGACGTCTTGAAAGAAAACGGCGACGGCGCCAGGTGATCAAATAATGTTTTAAGTTTATAATAATTTGGCAAATAATGAACGTATCAAGCTAAAATGTTCAACATTTCTTTATTTCAAGTTGTTTTATGTTCCTTATATTTACATCCACTGAATATTTTCTCCTTTATTTCTTAAGAAAACCCATTGCATTAATCACTGCATGAACTACAGTAGGCATGTCGCCTGTACAGATTTCTTGATCAATGGCTGTTCCATCAATGAAACGTATAAAGGCGTTCGCATCATTAATACAATAATTGATCTTTTTAATCCTACTTTAAATGATTATTAAACAGATATAAATATAAACAATAAAATGTCTTTCTTTGTTTTAACGGTCGCAGCTATTGCAGAAAAAATTTACATAACCCGCTTACGCGGGTTATGTATTTTTTCTGCAACAGCTGCTTCCGTTAATTCCAGTAATAACAAAGAAAGAAAGCATTTTATTGTTTAAATAAATTTTGAAAGCACAGACTACATAGTACTAATTTTGTAGCCTCAGTCCACGAACTTTTTGATAACCCCTCGTAAGTTTTGTTTATTAAACACCCAGAAGCAAAGAAAATGACTTTATTAAAAGAAATATTGTTCTTCCACTACATGATCTATATAGCCCCATCCTACACCAGAACCCTTGACCCAGGGGCTATGAAATTTACTTTTTTGGAATGGAGCCTTTCTTCATTAGACCTATGCATTGTTTTTTTTTTTAATACCTAGGAACAAAGAAGAATAATATCCATAAAAATAATATGACGCCAATGATTTAATTGCTTCTGAGACACCTTTCCTCACCACAACTATACATTTACATTAAGTTGTTTAATACCCAGAAGATTTTGAAAGAAATAATGCACTTTATCTACATAACAGATAATGCACTTTTTTCTTCTAAATAATCCATATAGTACTGCCATAGCACTAGAACCCTTGACTCTGGGGCCATGAAATTCACAATATTTGGAGAGGTAGCCTTATTCAACATAATTATGTACTTGGTTAATTTAATACCCAGGAGCAGAGAAGAAGATTTTCAAAGAAATAATGCATTTTCACTATATAATCTATATAGCCCCGTTCCCTGATCCTGGGGCCATGAATTTAGTCAAATTTTTCATTTTGCGCTTTTAAAAATCTTGTGTTGACCTCAATGCAAAATATAATGATGCAAAATGTAATGATCCAAAGAATGTGTTATTACATTCTGTATTACTACATTCTGTGTTGATCTTGATGCAAAATGTAATAATTATAATTATCACATTTTAATTAAGTTGCTAATTTATTTCACACTGTAACAAAGCACTCATAGCCCATAATTTAAGCAATTTTTCTTTTTTAATGTGTTGATTAATCATTTCCATAATCTCTATCCTTATGCCTCAGAGGAATATTTCCTGAAATACAAAATAAAGAAGTGATCACTTAAAAAAAAATTATTGTTGCAGATATGAATAAAAATAATGCTCACAATTCCTGTGATACACTTGATAATACACTTAAAGACTGGCTGATCAAACAAGAGGCTCTGGGCCACAACACTCACCTTGGACCTTTTTTTAAAATTAATATCCAATTTTTCCATATTTAATACTTTGACTCCCTATTGTGGACCAACCCTAACACTAGGCTGGGAACATGATTTGAACAATTTAGAATCTATGCTACCTCAGAAAGTTTCCACAAAAGGTTCAGCTTTACTTGCCCAGTGGTTCTTGAGCAGATTTTAAAATATTTCCCTCATATGTTTTACTGTAAAACTTTGATTCCCTATTGTTGCCCCACCCTAGCACTGGGGGGGGGGGGGAAGAGAGGATGATTCAAACTATTAAGAATCTACATTACCTCAGAAACCTTCCACATTAGTTTTACCTTACTGGCCCCGTGGTTCTTGACCAAAAAAAAAAAATTAAATGACCCCATCCTATTTTTGTCAATTCTTTCTTCCCTAAGAAGAGGTCTTGAGCCTTTACTTTAAAAATTTACACTCATTATCTACCAAGAATGCTTTGCACCAACTTTGGTTAAAATTGGCTTAGTAATTCTTGAAAAGAAGTTGAAACTTTAAAATGTGAAATGTTTACTAGCTGACAGAAGGATGGAAAGATTGATTGACTGATGATGGTGATCAGAAAAGCCCAGTTGAGCTTTTAGCTCTGTTGAGCTAAAATTCAGAACACATGCATTTTATAAAATATGATCTTATACATGTATCCTGTTTACATGCATATTTAGCCTATAAAACATTAGTAATTTATATACCTGGTGGAGCAACATAATAGTCCTCAATGGTTTTTGATGCATTCTTTAAGATATCAGTTAGACAATTCCCATCCATCACAGTGTCATCTCTCAAGTACAACTTTCTGTTAAATAAAGAATACTCATGAATTGAGGAATGGAAAGCTAATTTTTCTTATTATATAGATCCTTTTTAACTGATATCATTCAAGAAAAACATTCATTGCTTTTTTATCTTCAGAGAGGTATTTTTACATGCAGTCTCCAAATGTGTATATAAATGATGTTGTACCTATCTTCTAGAACTGAATCCATTGGCTCCACATTATCAGTGTTGACTGAATATAGCCGATTTGCTGACTGCACAGCCTTATTTAAGCGATCAACAGCCTCCTGATTATTAAACTGAACCAAAGATAGGCGCTCCAGTAAAATCACTATCTCTTTGTCTATATTTGGTTCCTATATCAGAAAAGCAAAACACTCTGATGATTAAATCCTATTCATTCATATATTATATATAACTCAGATGAATTTTATGTTTTCCCAGAATTTGAAAAAAATATGAAATTTCAATTTAGAGATTTGAATGCTAAAATTAAGTGGCAGTGAAAAATATCTTTAAACAAGAGGCCCATGGGCCACATCACTCACCTGAGTACTGTGGCTAGGAAAAAAGCAAAAAATCAATTCAGTTTTGAAAACCATAAATGCATGTGGTCCCAACCTACCCCTAAAAGGTAGAAGGGGGATGATTTGAATTAACTTAAATCTACAAAGAATGCTTACATATTTCTATGACTTACTATGGCTTCTTTCTCTATAAGTTTGAACTTATATTTTTGCCCCACCCTATCCCAAGGGGTCCTGATTTGAACAAACTTGAATTTACACTACCTGGGAATGCCTCTATATAAATATGTCCGATCATGGCTTTGTTGTTCTTGAGAAGAAGATTTTTAAAGATTTTTCCCATATATTCCTATGTAAAACTTTGGTCGTCCATTGTGGCCCTACCCAACCTTCAGGGGTCATGATTTGACCAAACTTGAATCTACCTGAGGATCTTCTATATAAATATGATCAATCATGGCTTTGTTGTTCTCGAGAAGAAGATTTTTTATATAGGTCATCCATTGTGGCCCCAACCAACCCCTACGGATCATGATATGTACAAATTTGAATCTACACTACCTGGGGATGCCTCTATATAAATATGATCAATCATGGCTTTGTTGTTCTTGAGAAAAAGATTTTTAAAGATTTTTCCCCTATATTCCTCTGCAAAACTTTGGTCGTCCAGTGTGGCCCCACCCTACCCCTAGGGGTCATGATTTGAACAAACTTTGATCTACACTACCTGAGGATGCTTCTTTATAAATATGATCAATCATGGCTTTGCTGTTCATGAAAAGAAGATTTTCCCCATATAGTCCTATGTTAAATTTTGGTCGTCCATTGTGGCCCCACCCTATCCCCGGGGGTCATAATTTGAACAATCTTGAATTTGCACAACCTGGGGATGCTTCCACATTAGTTTCATCTTTCCCTAACCAGTGGTTCTTGAGAAGAAGATTTTTAAAACATGCCACAAATTTTCACTTTTTAAAATTATCTACCCTTGAGTAAGGATGTGGCCCTTTCTTTGAAAACAAGAGGCCCAGGGGCCACAGCGCTCACCTGAGCACATCAGGCTTGAATTTACTCCACCCCCCCTCCAGGCGTTCATCATTTGAACAAACTAGAATCTACACTACCTGAGGATGATTCCATATAAATATCACTAATCATAGCTTTGAGGTACTTGAAAAGGAGATTTTAAAAGGTTTCCCTATATATCCCTGTGTAAAACTTGGGTCGGCCATTTTGGCCCCACCCTAGCCCCGGGGGTCATGATTTGAACAAATTTGAATCTACACTACCTGAGGATGATTCCACATGAGTTTCATCTTTCCTGGCCCAGTGGTTCTGGAGAAGAAGATTTTTAAAGATTTTTCCTATATATTCCTATGTAAAACTTGGGTCGGCCATTTTGGTCCCACCCTTGCCCCGGGGGTCATGATTTGAACAAACTTGAATCTAAACTACCTGAGGATGATTCCACATGAGTTTCATCTTTCCTGGTCCAGTGGTTCTGGAGAAGAAGATTTTTAAAAATTTTTCCTATATATTCCTATGTAGAACTTGGGTCGGCCATTTTGGCCCTACCTTTGCCCCGGGGGTCATGATTTGAACAAACTTGAATCCACTCTACCTGACGATGATTCCACATGAGTTTCATCTTTCCTGGCCCAGTGGTTCTGGAGTAGAAGATTTTTAAAGATTTTTCCCATATATTCCTATGTAAAACTTGGGTCGGCCATTTTGGCCCCACCCTTGCCCCGGGGGTCATGATTTGAACAAACTTGAATCTACACTACCTGAGGATGCTTCCACATGAGTTTCATCTTTCCTGGCCCAGTGGTACTGGAGAAGAAGATTTTTAAAGATTTTTCCTATATATTCCTATGTAAAACTTGGGTCGGCCATTTTGGCCCCATCTTTGCCCCGGGGGTCATGATTTGAACAAACTTGAATCTGCTCTACCTGAGGATGATTCCACATGAGTTTCATCTTTCCTGGCCCAGTGGTTCTGGAGAAGAAGATTTTTAAAGATTTTTCCTATATATTCCTATGTAAAACTTGGGTCGGCCATTTTGGCCCCACCCTTGCCCCGGGGGTCATGATTTGAACAACCTTGAATCCACACTACCTGAGGATGCTTCCACATGAGTTTCATATTTCCTGGCCCAGCGGTTCTGGAAAAGAAGATTTTTTTTTAAATGCCATTAATTTTTAACAAATTCATGATTATCTCCCCTTGGAAAAGGGCGTGGCCCTTCATTTGAACAAACTTGAATCCCCTTCACCCAAGGATACTTTGTGCCAAGTTTGGTTGAAATTGGCCCAGTGATTCTTGAGAAGAAGATGAAAATGTGAAAAGTTTACGACGACAACGACGACGACAACGACTACGACAACGACTACGACAACGACAACGACAGACAACGGACAAATTTTGATCAGAAAAGCTCACTTGAGCCTTCGGCTCAGGTGAGCTAAAAACTTGAATCCCCTTCACCCAATGATGCTTCATGGCAAGTTTGGTTAAAATTGGCCCAGTGGTTCTGGAGAAGAAGTTAAATGTGTGAAAAGTTTATAGACGCACAAACAGACGGAGTAAAGACAAATTGGGATCAGAATAGTTCACTTGAGCTTTCAGCTCAGGTGAGATAAGAATACATTTTTAAATTAACTTTAACTATGTAATAATTAACCATGCAACTTACTAGTCTTAAGACCAAAGAGCAGAGAAATTTTGTTAATGTTTAATTTTTTGCAAAGTGCATTGATTTTGTCCAAATTTTGAAACACTTTGAAAAATCCTTTTCAAAGTGCATTGATTCTGTCCTAATTATAACACACTTTGAAATTTTTTTTTAAAGTGCATTATTTTTTCAAAGTGCTTTTCCACAGAGCAGGGTATCATCCAAGCAAGTTTAATTTGGTCAACATAGGGCTCATAGTTACTTTAGAATGTACCTGCTCCAAAAACTTTAATCTGTTCACTCATCCAGAAAATGTAGGTTGAAGCAAGCTTGGATGTATCACCCATGCAAGTGATACATCCCAGGACTTACAGTAACTGGGTAATCAGATCTGCACCAAAAATTTTACCCTGTACACTCATCCAGAAAATGTAGGTCATATCCAGCATCTGAAGCAAGCTTGGTACTTTGCATCCTTAGATGTATCACCCATGCAAGGTCAACATAGGGCTTATAGTTACTTGGAAATGAGACCTGCATCCAAAACTTATCCTGTTCACTCATCTGGAAAATGTAGGCCAGATCCAGCATCTGAGGCAAGCCTGGTAGTATGCATCCTTAGATGTATCACCCATGCAAGTTTGGTCAACATAGGGCTTATAGTTACTTGGCAATGACACTTGCACCAAAAACTTTAACCTACTCCAGAAATATTAAGCTGGTCATTCCTTAGCTGAAAGAAGGTACAGTTTCAATACAAATTACGCCCTATATTTTTCTAAAATATGAAAGTGATATAAGAAATCAAAACTCATTCTTTCTGAATCATAGGAATTCTATGCAGTAAGAATACACAACTCGTTTTTCTCACATGACCTCCTAAATGCTAATTGTGACGTCATTATTGTGTGCATTTTCCCGTATTTTCTTAAAAAGTTGCAGAAGACTCCAATTTTCAGTGGAATTTTCTTTAAGAAAACATACTCTGCCACCGTCGCCCAGGAAAATTTTGAGATATGTGATTTTTCATAGCAGTTTACATAATATATCCAAAAATTAAAGTGGGCGACGGTGGAAGACACTATTTTCTAAAGCAAAATTGGCAGAGAAATGAGTCATTTTGAAGCTTTTCTGCATTAAACTTAAAAATTGTACCAAATTAATGGCGTCATATTTCCAGAAAGGTCCTCCTTCATGACATATTCTTTAATGATTAATCATATTCATCTACCCAACTATTGTTAAAGCCAATTTCGTAACTTTTTAAGAAATTAAATTTTTAGGGCACAATAAAGCTCAAACCGTACCTTCTTCTTGCAGCATCTGAAACCTTGACTGGTACAATGAAACACACTAGAAGCATATAATCTGATCAATGTAGGACATAGAAGTACTTAAAGAGAACTTTAACCTTGGACATCAACACAGAAGCCAACACAGAGAGTATCACATAAGTATCGTACTATTAATTCCATTAAGAAATGAATTTAAATTTTGAAGATTCATGAGGTTATGAAATATGACGCTTCACGCCGGCATATTTCATGATGTGTGTTAGCACTACATGATACATATTTTGGCTTGAAGCGTTGTAGTTCATGTACCTCATGAATCTTCAAAAATTGAATTCATTTCTCATATGTTACGCCATTCAACTGTCATTTTTAAAGCAGAACAGTTTGCACTATAGTTTTGACTTCAAGTGCGGTACATATATTATGATGTAACAATGGAGATACATGTATGATGTTCATCCATGGTACTTGTATTTTGTGACAAAAACAAGAGGAATTCCTTTTTTCTTGATGTCACTTTTACTTTTCAGGGTTTTCTCTCTGCTATAATTAGCGAGTACATTTTGCATGTTAGATTTGATTTCAATTTTATCGTGTCCTCTTTTTAAGAGATTAACCGTTGGTTAACCCTAAGGTCTGTAAACACACACACACACCCTTGTACCATCATAAATATGTACTTAGAGCAAGAGATTTTCAAAGAATTCATGCATTTTCACTATAAAATCATTAGAGCCCCACCCCAGAACCCCTGACCAAGGGGCCCTAAAATTCACAAATTTGGAAGAGGCATCCTTTCTCATTATAACTATGTACATAGTTCATTGGTTTAATACCGAGGAGCAGAGGAAAAGATTTTAAAAGAATTTATGCATTTTCACTATATAATCAATAGAGCCCCTCCCTAACACCAGAACCCCTGACCCTGGGGCCATGAAATTCATAATTTTAGAAGAGACATTTTTGCTTGTCATAACCATGTCCATGGTAAGTTTATTTGATACCCAGGGGCAGAGAAGCAGATTTTGAAAGATTTTAATATATTTTCACAATATAATCAAAAGAGCCTAGCCCTAACATCAAATCCCCTGATCCAGGAGCCATGAAATTTACAATTTTGGAAAAAACATTCTTGCTTATCATAACTAGGTGCTTGGTTAGTTTGTTTAGAGCAGAGAAGATGATTTTCAAAGAATTTATGCATTTTCACTAAATCATCAATAAAGTCTTGCCCTAAAACCAGAACCCCTAACGGGGCCATGAAATTCATAATTTTGGAAGATCAAGGCAGCCTTATCCAACATACATGTGTAACAACATAATTGCATGGTTAGTTTATTAAATACCCTGGAGCAGAGAAGATTGTTGAAATAAATAATGCATTTTCTCTTTATAATCTATAAAGCCCAGTCCTAGCACTAAAAACCCCTGACCCTGGGGCAATGAATTTCACAATTTTGGTAGAGGATTTTATGCTGATTACAATCATGCCAGCAGTTTGACTGCTTAATGTCCAGGAGTAAAGAAGAAGATTTTTAAAGATTGCATTAATTTTAATGGTTTTGGACCCATCCCTCAGGCCCTGGGGTGGGGGGTTCATGAAATTCACAATTTTTGTTCCCCTTCTGTCAAAGGTGTTTATGCCAAACTTGGTGTGTAGTTGCAGAACAGAATCTGTAAATTTTCAAATGGTAACACACTGGACAAATGACGTACGACGCGCACCATACAACTAAGGACTAAGCTTACTCAGGTGACGTAAATTATAATCGTAAAATGACAACTTGGTGTTGCCTATCCATTTTACCAACTTGGAAATCAACAACAGCTGATAAAATCTGAATAACTGGTTATTTCAAGGCAATTTTACAATAAATACAAATAAACCAGCTGCAGAACTAGCTCTCTGCTTGAGAAAATTCGGAAGATAAAGCAGAGAGCTACAAATAAACCTATGGCAAATATCATCTAAAATTTTCAGCTCGATTGATAAAGTATTAAAACGGAAAATAAAAAAAAAAATCGAACTGCTCAGGTTTTAAATTTGCCCCGGCTCGGGTTTGCCTACCCATTTTACCAACATTCGACAAAAATACATTACGAACCTAATCTAACATGCTCACCTTGGACAACTTAGATCCGCATTTATCACCGGGCCACCATGTTGGTTTTTCTGGCACCTACAAATTAGAAAATATTCATTAATATATTTATCCAAAACATCTCTGCTCTTCGATACATTTAAGAAGAAAATTAACGTTACTTGCATATTATATATTTTAACACCTTTGATGAAAAACGTCGTCTTAAAGAAACAATAAAAGAATATGTGTAGATTCTATGGATACATTCGCATTGGCAAAGCATATTTCTATTTCACATTAGAACTCCAATAGCCTGGTGAATCCCCTTTTTAATAGCTGTGTAAACTCCGCGGCAAGGATGAGCCTGGGAACCAAGTTATCTGCTGCCGCTTGGGGTGCGTCGATTTACCCAAATGGGCCCAGATGGAACTCAAATTGATAAAACCAAATTGAATTTTATTTCTAAAAAATAAATTAACAAATGAAAATCATTAATTATATGTTTTTATGATTTTTCGACGTGTAATATATATAACATTAAATTAATTGCGAATTGGGGTATTTCGTTTGAGTACTATAGAAATGATATACATATATACTTTTAAAGTGGAATGCTGTGGTTTGACTTTCAGTATAAAAAGTTCAATATTAACTTCCACTTAATTTATATGATTTTTTTGACATTTTTTTTTCTTCAGAGAAAATTTAAAAAAAAAGTTTTATTTGAAAATAAGGTGCTTAAATTTTTAAAGAAACGCTGAAAAGACATGACTTAGACAGACTTTTTAGACTTTTTAAATAAAAAATATTTATGAAAATAAAACACATTAATCTGTGTGTTAGCGTGATGGCGTGTTGTTCAAACTCATGTTAGCATGACAGCACGTTGTGTGTTAGCGCAATGTGTTGTGGGAACTTGTGTTAGTGTGAAGGCGTGTTGTGCCAACTCGTGTTAGTGTGTTGTGTGTTAGTGCGTCACCGTGTTGTGTGAACTTGTGTTAGCCTGACAGCGTGTTGTGTGTTAGCGCGACTGGGTTTTCTGAACACGCTGTTGAGCTTTAGCAAATGGCCCTATCCGGACACCAAAATCTATAGTTTTAGCTAATGGCTAGAAACTTTTTCGGTCAAAACTTCTTTTTATAATTTTTTGGTTTATTTTTTGTATTTCAGAAACGCTAAATCAGAATATCAGACCAGAACAAAATTTGGAACAAGAAGACCTGATTCCTTGTTCGACCCGCGTGGTTTTAACCCCATAGTTTAATATTTATTATTCGTTATAATTCAAATTATTCAGATTTTCTGAATCGACCATACTGTTTATAATTAAAAATATCGATAATTATGATATTTTTTTTACTTGGAAAAATACCATATATATATATAGAATTTAAAGTTTACCCGATTAAAACCACTCTTTAGTTTTGAAAAAAAAAAATAGTACAAAATATTTTATCACTCCCTGTCTACCGCGTATAAACGTGCATATTTTGTTCATAAGTTTACCAGTATTTATAAGTCTGCAGAAATATGTTTTGACACTTTATGTTTGTATTCTGTGAATAAGTAAATAAGAAAACATTTAAATATACATTTAGATAATAAATTCAATAATTATACCATCAAGAGTTAATTTATTTTTAAGGAAAAAAATGCTCATATATAAATTATTATCATATTTCAAATGAAATTAATTACATCCATGTCCTAAACTCATTAAGAAACCATCTTTACTACTGACTTCAATGTTGACAACCAATTAATGACACGTTTCCCCCGATACCTGAAACCATAGACATATAATTGCGCTACCGAATATCCATGTATCCCTATAGCGTGAACCCCTCTATTTACCTGTAAAGTGTATATACATATATAAGTAGGTCGAAACCACTGGGGTCGTTACCACGCGGGTCGAACACGGAATCGGGTCGTAACCACTCGACACCGTAAAGCTAGCTATATAGTCTCGTATTTTTCAAAACTATTTCAGCTTATTTTAATTAAAAGTAAAATAGAATAGAATAATAGATAAAACTTGATATTAAAGGGGAAGCACAAATTTGCCCATATCAACATTGCCCATAACCAAAAGATGGGAGAGGGGGTTTTGTGTACCATTGTACCGTCGGGAGTCGGATATAGAGAAGACTAGATTTACCGCTTGCCAAACCAGGCTTTAGAAAAAAATGAATAGCATAAGTACAGAATGTCAACAACTCAAAGAACAGTATGATGCATGTTTTAATAAATGGTTTTCAGAAAAATTTCTGAAAGGAGTCACTAAAGACGAATGTGCTCCACTGTTTGAAGTCTATCAAGAATGTGTCAAAGTAAGTAAATTATGGGAATTCGGGTAGTTAGGCCTACGGGGTGCGTCGATATACCCAAATAGATCCATATGAACCCAAATGACGACCCAGATGGACTAATATTAAATATAAGACTCAGAGATATCCTAAATTATGATTAAATAGTCATAGAGTATATGCAGAGGACTTTATTTCTCCCATTTATCATACCACCAGGTCCATTACGATCAGGTTAGAATTACCTACTGTAGGCTGTAGCTTTATTTACCTACCTCAGGTAACTTTATTTAGTTATTTCAATCCAAATTTTCACAGATTTGCTTTTCATTTGATAAAAACAAAAAGTAACAATTAAATTGCTACTAATAATAACTATAGGTATTTTTATAAAAGCAATCTAAATCAGAGATAGATTATACTGTCCATTTTTAGCTCGCCTGAGCTGAAGGCTCAAGTGAGCTTTTCTGATCAAAATTTGTCCGTTGTCTGTCATTGTTGTTAACTTTTTTACATTTTTGACTTTTTCTCAAGAACCACTGGGCCAATTTCAACCAAATTTGGCACAAAGTATCCTTAGGTGAAGGGGATTCAAGTTTGTTCAAATGAAGAGCCACACCTTATACAAGGGGAGATAATTCAGAAATAGTGAAAATTTGATGGTATGATTCAAAAAAGTATTCAGCAAGTATTCATGTTTTACATATTAATGCCCCTTGATCTCTCGTCATGCTTTCAAGTCGTCAAAAATGTAAGACACTGGTGTGACGACACTGTCATATTACAGTGAAAGCATCCTCAGGTAATGTAGATTTAGATTTGTTCAAATCTTGACAGGGGGTGGGAAAGGGGGGATAGGATGGGACCACAATGTAAGATCAAGCTTAAAAGGTAAAAAAGTCATAGTCAAGGAAATACGCAAGCATCGAAAGTTTATGAAGATTCAAGTCTGTTCAAATCATACACCCTCCCCTTTTATCCACTTATTATGGATTTAAACTTTTCATGACTGAACTGATTTCTGTTTTTTCCTAGCACAGTGCATGAGTGATGTGGCCCATGGGCAGGGCCTCTTGTTTCTTTGATCTCAATAATCAGCATAAAAACTCTGGAATAAGGTGTCACTGAAATATAGTGATCTACAGTATTTTTAAAAAAAATTTATGAAATTACTTATCAATTTAAATACAGTACAAAAATGCAGCAGATGTATGATGTACAGACTGTGCGTGTATATACATCAGTTATAACATTTTGTAAAGTTGAACCTTATTAGACATGGATTCCAATTCACACTACGCTGCTATTAATAGAATATCATGTTTCAAAAGATTACAATAGTTCTATTCATAATAATTTATTTTGAATAAGGTACCACTATCAATGAAGTCACTTGAGTAGGAACCTACCTAGATAACAACAGTTACAAGGAATGTTTCCTTGTGGAAAGTTCAAACACTAGTAGTAAAAAAAGACTAGGTTAGAAATACAAGGTTAGTAATTCTCTGAGCATGTTGAGATATCTGTGAAAATCATATCACAGAGGATGTCCACATTAAATGATACACTTGGTTGTACTCTAACTATCCATCTGTCAATTTTTAGCTCTACTGGTCAGAGACCAGAAGAGCTTATGCGATAGTAATGCGTCCGTCGTCCGTCCGTCTGTCTGTCTGTAAACAATTTTTCAAAATGCTACTCCTCCTACAGTTTTGATCCAATTTCAATATAACTTGGCACACAAGTAGACTACACTAAGATACATAATTCTGTGCATCGGTTTTTGATTTTGATGAACGGTGTTGCCGTGGTTACTAAAAATAGAAATTTCTGTGAAATTCTTTCAAAATGCGACTCCTCCTACAGTTTTGATCCAATTTCAATATAATTTGGCACACAAGTAGACTACACTAAGATACATAATTCTGTGCATCGGTTTTTGATTTCAGTGAACGGTGTTGCCGTGGTTACTAAAAATAGAAATTTCTGTAAAATTCTTTCAAAATGCTACTCTTCCTACAGTTTTGGTCCAATTTCAATATATCTTGGCACACAAGTAGACTACACTAAGATACATAATTCTGTGCATCGGTTTTTGATTTCAATGAACGGTGTTGCCTTGGTTACTAAAAATAGAAATTTCTGTGAAATGCTTTCAAAATGCTAATTCTCCTACAGTTTTGATCCAATTTCAATATAACTTGGCACACAAGTAGACTACACTAAGATACATAATTCTATGCATCGGTTTTTGATTTCGATGAACGGTGTTGCCATGGTTACTAAAAATAGAAATTTCTGAGAAATTCTTTCAAAATGCTACTCCTCCTACAGTTTTGGTCCGATTTCAATATAACTTGGCACAAGTAGACTACACTAAGATACATAATTCTGTGCATTTGTTTTTGATTTTGATGAACAGTGTTGCCGTGGTTACTAAAAATAGAAATTTCTGTAAAATTCTTTCAAAATGCTACTCCTCCTACAGTTTTGGTCCAATTTCAATATAACTTGTCACACAAGTAGACTACACTAAGATACATAATTCTGTGCATCTGTTTTTCTTTTGATTAGCGGCAAGGATAATTTTTTTTTACTTATTGCTGTTTTAAAGTCTCAAGTCCCAACTGCTACTTTTCTCTTCCTTTGTTTTAAGTATAAACCAGTAGAGCTATAGTCTCGACAGAGACTTCTGGTTTTTTTTTATGAACTACAGATTTTTGCAGGTAGTTGCATTTGTGCTCCAATCATGTTCTGTGTTTGCTCAGTGTTCACCGTTTACTAACTGTTCATCAAGTTACGTTCAGCTTGCATTCACTATTTGCTTGCCACTCAAAGAAAGTAGAATGTTTTGTGCGAGTGCATGTGTATTGTAAATAATGATATTCTATTTATGAAGTAATCATTGTTTTATGCATTATTTCAGAAAGCAATTAAGGAACACAAAATTGATCTCTGGGAACTAGAAAAACCAGTGCTAGGAACAGATCACGAGAAAAAGGATCCAAACTGATGCATATGAAACTGAAGATTCAAATGGAGCAAGAAAGGCTTAAATATCCTAAGTGTCCTTTACCCTTGACACTTAGATACTGAAGGAAGTTTAGGATGTGAAACTAAATATTTTGTTACTATTTCAAGCCTTAGAGATGATTACTGTATTTTGTGGAAGAATGTGAGAAGATTAAACTAAAGGACCCTTTTTGCACTTATTACAGGGTACTTCTGACTGATCAAACATTTGAAATTTGCAATAAATTGTTTTACTTAACTTGCAATTATGTCAAGAATTCTTAGCTTTGTACATAGATAGAACCATGATAGAGTGATTGAAAACATGATTTGCATGTATTTTCAGGGCCATCAATCTTTCTGATTTGGGTCTGATAAATGGGCTTTTGCCAATTGGGAGAACTCCCAAAATTCCCAATTTAATTATTAGTACACTGTATCTAGAAATTCACAATATCACAAAATGTATTTGTGTGTATGTAAAAAAAAATTGTGTCTGTTTAAAACCTAATTTATCCTACTCTGTTGTTTTTCTTTCAATTTAGAACAAACAATTCATGTTTTAACAACTCTAGCTCACCTGAGCTGAAAACCCAAGTGAGCTTTTCTGATTACAGTTTGTCTGTAGTACAGTATATCTGTCTGTCAGTCCACCTATTAACTTTTTTAATTTTTAACTTCTCGAGAACTACTTGGCCAATTTCAATCAAACTTACCACACAGCATCCTTGAGTGAAGGGGATTCAAGTTTGTGCAAATGAAAGGCCACACCTTCTTTCAAAGGGAGATAATTAGGAAAGTGATCATTTTCTGGCATGTTTTAAAAATCTTCTCAATAATGACTGGATCCGGAAACATGAAACGCTAATGTAGAATAATCCTCAGGTAGTGAAGATTCAAGTTTGATCAAATCATGACCCCAATGGATAGGGTGGGGCCACTATAGACAATCAAACTTATTCATAGGAATAAACTCAGGTGACATCTTGCTATCTGTACGTATATGTCCATCGTCCTGCATTGTGCGTTAACATTTGAACATTTTCAGCTTCTTCTCTAGGGCTTGAAGGGTGGTTCCAAACCCACTAACATGAATGCAGTTTTTAAAAAAACCCCAACTTTTTCTTTATTCCAGGACATCAAGTTGTCAAATTGTTCTTAAATTGGCATGGTTGTAATAAGCATTAAAGGGGCATAGACACAGTTTCAACTGATTTTTTAAAACCAGTTTTAATTTTTACAATTCCTACCTAAGGCACCATCTAATGATTAGGAAAATTTGAACTGTTTAACAAACAAGATACAGAACTTAAAGTTCTTCATAATGTAAACAAGGCTCGTGCCTTGTTAGTGTTTACATATAGAAAATGTCACATTTATAATAAAATGAAATTCAGCAAAGCAATAGAAACTGTCGAATTGTATTTAAAATTAACTTCTTTTTTGAAATTATCTACTCTGAACGAACATATATTAGTGTATTAACCTATGTAAACAAAAACATGACACGGACCCTGTTTACATAACAAAGGTTTGGAGCTCTAAATCTGTCCTGTATCTCGACAACAGTTACTGACGTTCAAATTTTTGATAATCATTAGAGAGACCCTTGTAAAATATTTGTAAAAATGGAAAAATAAATTTTGAAATTTTAGTTGAAACTGTGTCCATGCCCCTTTTTGTCTTCAACCAGTGTTGTGAAATTTATGGCCATGAATTACATACAAACTCTTAAATTATATACATAATTATGACGAGGAAGGGCGTCTCTTTCAAAATTGCGAATTTCAAGGCTCCAATTATTTGCAGTTTCCTTTCATTTTCTCTGAAATAAAATTTGGTATACATGTATAGATTTATCATTAAAATATCTAGGTCAAGATCTATTTTGGTTACGATGGAGCCATTTTTGACAGAGATATGTTCCGTTGACTTGGAAAAGTTCCAATAATTTGGGGAAGGGGTTTTACGAACATCTCTTGCATGTTTTTTTTTTTTGTTTGTTTTAGTTTTCTGTCAATTTTTCATCTGAAACAAAGAGGGCGTACAGGACGAAGACCGTCTCCAGCTCTAGAACCATATTTTTTCTCAATTTTCAAAGTTCACGGAAAGATTTTATATATGCCTCGTAAACGAAGTTTTGGGGGGAATATAGATTTTGCCCTGTCTGTCTGTCTGTTTGTCACAAAACCATTAACCTTGCCCATAACTTTTGACTGGTTGGGACTATGGCTTTTATATTTCACAGGTGTATTCTTTATGACAAGACCTTTCTTTGGGTACCACCAAATTTGACCTCTTGACCTTGGATTTTGAAACATTTTACACCATAATTCCAAACTTTTTTTTGCTTTTGCCATAACTTTTGAATGGTTGGTGCTAGGACTTTCATACTTGACATATGACTGTTGTATTCTTTGTGACAAGACCTTCCACTGAATGCCAACAACTTTGACCTTTTGACCCTGACCTTGGAGATTGACCTTAAAACATTAACCTTGGCCCTTACTTTTGAACCGTAAGGGCTAGGACTTTCATATATCACAAATGTAATCCATGTGACATGACCTTTCATTATTTTGACCTTGACCTTGGAGTTTGACCTACCGGTACTTTTAAAAAACTTTAAACTTAGCAATAACTTTTGAACAGCAGTTGGTGCTAGGACTTTCAAACTTCACTTATGTATTTTTTGTGACAAGACCTTCCATTGGGTACCAACAACTTTGACCTTTTCACCTTGGAGATTGACCTTCTTTTGAAAATCTTTAACCTTTGCCATAACTTTTGAACAAAAGGGCTGGGACTTTTATACTTCACACATGTAACCATTGTCACAAGACCTTCATTAGAAACCAAACAACTTTGACCCTTTGACTTTGAACCTGGAGTTTGACCTACATTTAAAAAAGCTATATTTGCCCACAACTTTTGAGCAGGTGGTGTCTGGGTTTCATATTTCACATTTGTATTTCACGTGAGAAGGTCTTACATTGGGTATCAACATGTTTGATTTGCATTTGAGAAAATTTAACCTTCGCTTCGTTGCCATACGGGGACATATCAGTGTTTCACAAACACATCTTGTTTTCTAAATTATACTCACCGTCAATAGAAACGCAACACCCTAATTTAAGGGGTGAAAATTATATACGGGATATAACTATGTACCAAAAAAGTTAGTACATTTTTACTTTGCCAAATCAGTTATTCAACGGTTAAATGATTTTCATTCCATTACCGGAAGTTGATTTTTTAGCTCCCTGAACAGAAATCAAAAATTAGTATTTTAAATAAAATTATTGACAATATTTTGGGTTTTCAAGGTTTTGTACCTGTTAATTATAAGTCTTGTACTTTTCGTCCAAAAAATAATTAGATAAATTTTCTCTTCCGGATGTGATGCCTGTATTTCCTCAAAGTAACTGAAAGCACGCATTTTCATTGCTAATGTTGGAAATTTTCAAAATAAAGAAAAGGGAGAGCTACAGATGCAAATATACACTACATAACGACTTTTCGGGCTCATGTTTTTCAAAAGCATGAATGACAGTTCCTTGACCGGAAAACGGACAAGGTTTACTACACTCACACCAAGTTAGAGAAAAAACCTATGGGCATGTTTGAAAAACAGGCATTTAAAAAATCATGGACATTTAAAATAAATATTTCGCTCAGATTAAGACATTGATAAACTTAATGCATGGTCCAAATGCGCTCTTCTGTTTTACATGCCATAACTTTTAATTGAATGGTTGGTGCTAGGACTTTTAAAAGTTATGTGTTACTTTCTAAGGTTAAAGATAACATTTAACGTTTAAATGAAGTATCATTGTTTTGTAAATTTACTTTTTAAATATATGTATTCATTCTTAATCTCATCTTTAAACCTTATAAAGTAACACATAACTTAAAACATCCCCTTACTTTTCAATTAAAACGTGCTAGTCCGCCATGTACATATATCACAAATGTAATGCATTAAGTTTATCAATGTCTTAATCTGAGCGAAATAAATATTCTTGTCCTTTTTTAAAAAACTGTTTTTCAGAACTTGGTCAATTTTCTTTTGAACTTGGCGTAGTGTAGTAAACCTTGGACTTCCGGTCAAGGAACTGTCATTCATGCTTTTGAAACACATGAGCCAAAAGTCGTTATGTAGTGTATATTTGCATCTGTAGCTCTCCCTTTTTTTATTTTGAAAATTTCCAACATTAGCAGTTAAAATGCGTGCTTTCATATTACTTTGAGGAAATACAGGCATCACATCCAGAAGAGAAACCAAGGACTTTTTTTTGACTTTGTACAAGACTTATGATTAACAGATACAAAACCTTGAAAACCCAAAATATTGACAATAATTCTATTAAAAATGCTCATTTTTGATTTCTTCATATTTCTAAAAATCAACTTCCGGTAATGGAATGAAAACCATTCAACCGTTGAATAACTGATTTGAAAGTTTGAGAAAATTTAACTTTTTTGGTATATAGCTATATCCCGTATATAATTTTTACCCCTAAAATTAGGGTGTTGCATTTCTATTGACGGTGAGTATATATCTAAAGTACAGGTATCTTTTGAAGTATGACAGGTGGTGTCATGAGATGTAAATTTTCATTTTTACCCTGGGTAAAATTGGGGGAGGGGTTGAACAATGACGTTTTTCTAATATAACATGGTTCCCAGAACTACTCAATTTTATGTAGCTGCAGATCTGTAGCTCGCTGGTAAAAAAAGAATGGACGACCAGACAGCTACAGTGCCACCCATTGAAATAAGTTTAAATTTAGTGCGTACAAAAAGTGCGCTGTTTCTCGATTTATTTCTCCGTATACATGTATGAAATATATTGCCGGAGATAACGAACAGTATTCAAGCTCAAAAATCCATAAAACAATACAAGATATTGGAGCAGAGCAAACACAGACCTCCAAAAATGTAGAGGTGGTATCAGGTGCCATGGAAGAGTGAGAATCCCCTGCCGACCGGTTACACCTACCGCTCATCATGATCGGGAAATGATGGAAAAATCAGTTGTCAATTCACTGTGTAAATAATGGCCTAACAATTAGTATGAAAAACGTCAGTCAGCATTTGACGTAATGATAAATTTTATTTGCTGACAAGGTCATGGTATCAGTCATAGAACTTACGAAATGATGACTTTAAACGAGAGAGGTGATATTCTTGTTTCATCAATGATCTCCTGGACTTTAATTTATCGTGGGGAATGGTTGTGTATAAAGTTTAAAAGTCGTAAGCTTTTATGCTGTAGATTTTGGTTAAATCTTGTGATTTCTAATTGTTCAAAAGTTCCTTGGAATTTTTAAGTATCCACATTTGATTTTCACCACTTCTTGAATATATTATTGCATTGTACTCTTGAAGTCTCTCCTTCACTACTGTTAATTTCTTAGTGAGGAGTGAGAAAGAGGCTTGATGAGCCTTACAAACGGAAACGATGTTGTTATCTGCATCGTCAGCAGGGACCAGTACGTACTGATCATTGGAACCATG